CAGCAAAGCACTGGCAAAAGTAGCCTAATGATTATGGAAACAATAGCCAGGAGATATTTTAATTTTTTATTAATGAACAAGTGTTTACTAATGGTGTGTTCACACCGAATGAGAATTTAATTATTTGCGCGAGTAGATTACATGCAAAGTCAATGCAAAGTCGCATCATTCGCGCCGGGCGTCGCGAGTGAGGCACGCGTTTGCCGCGAACGTCTTCCGCGCAAGTTGAAAAATTTGAACTCGAGCGGAAGATTCAAGCGTCTAACTAGACGCGATAAACGCGTATTTGACGCTCTATTCGCGTTCGGTGTGAACACACCATTACTCTCTCAAGTGTATTCTGTGCGCTTCTAAGTGCCTTATTAGGTCTTGGCAGCAATTATCTTGTCGAAAATATTGCATCGCGTGATCTGGTATCGAGTCTGTCTAGGGTTGCCAACTTTCTGAAATGGAAATAAGGAAGGGGGGGGTGTTATGTGGTAGTGACATAGTGCGCGCTCCACACTCCCACACACACTTGGATATGCGTCAAAATCTTGTGTTTATTTGGGATAATCTTAGCCCTGTATTATTATTATTGTCAAACCTGTATTTTGACTGACATTTGACGAATTGCTTTGTTCCTTTTTTGGTAAAGCGCCTTCTAAATATGTAGCCTAAATGTAATAGTAATAATATTATTATCATTTGCGTTTATAAATGAGTTCACTGAAGACAGTAAAATTTTAATCATAAAATAATTTATGAATGTTTTATTTTTATATAACCTAACCTTGTGTTATATTTCTTTTTTATATGTGAAGTATTTGTTTGCTTATTCTATTATACTGAGCTTTTTCCTCCTAAACAAATGGACTTAAAAGATACAAGTAGGCTAACCTAAATTCAAGAAATCATCCATTAAAATAATTAAGTTTAAACATAATAAATGCATCCCGCAGAAGGCCTGGTTGGCACAGACTGGGGGAGAGGACACAAATCCGTGAATACAGTTTACAAACCCGTGTGAACGGATTGCGAAAGCGTGGGCACGGTTTATGAATTTGTGGGTACAGATTGCAAAAACTGAGGGCACGGTTTACAAATCTGAGAGCGCGGATTAGGAACTCGTGGGTACGGTTTATTAATCCGTGAGCACGATTTGTTAAACCGAGGGAACAGATTGAGAATTCGTGAGTACGGTTTATAAACTGAGCGGACGGATTGCAAAACCGTCGCCACGGATTGTTTTTTTTTTTCCAACAGGTGACTTCCCGGGCTCCGTACGTCAGAGCCCGTCAAGGTGGCGCCAAGTCCCCGAATTTGCCATTGTAGCAGCGGGTCTTCGTTCATTCATCATAGTAGTCTGTCTGACATATATATTAGAAGCTATGCGTCTGTCATGGATTTGCACTGAATTGATTCTCAAAAATACGGAACAAAGTGCGTTCCGTATCAGTTCAATACGGAACAAGTCTTTTATGTGTCAAATACGGAACGATTCCGTATTATACGGAACGGTTGGCAACCCTAAGTCTGTCACATAGGTAGGCTACACTTTGGATCATTTTCACATATTTTCTATCTATCTGGGTTGGGACGCTTACACACACACACTACAGCCGCACGTGCGACGAGCCACGTCTCTGGGCAGCGCGTAAACTAGTGTTTTTCCGCCACAGCCAATCATGTTGCATGCTTATTGTTTCACTTACGTTGACGAGATTAACCACTTAGCTACCGAAATTTGGTAGCGGAAAAACAAGACATGTTTCGATACTCTGTAGTATCCAGGCAATTCGGTCGGTACCTAAAAAGTACCGAACTCGGTACCCAGCCCTAATAAAAAGTCGCAATTACCGTTTTTATTTTTTAATCTGTGGCGGAAACAAGCTTCCATACATAAGTGCAGCCTTGGTGACCAGAAGAGACTTAAAAAAAAAAAAAAAAAATTTTTTTTTTAAACATTTAAAAAAAATCTCACCGACCCCAAACTTTTGAATGCTAGTGTATGTGTATGTAAATGTAAATGTCTGAAAAATAAAATACACAGTATGTGGTTGAAAACACTTGTGTTGTGAAATATGACAAGCACTGATCTAGGCGCTCTTGGGTCACTGATTTGAATTGATCAGTAGATTATGTAACATTGTAATGACAGCGCTGTGATCAGAGGGTTAAAGTCTTTACCGTGTTCACTCACAGTGTAAACACCACTAAATCTTTTAAAGAATTGATCAAGAAGATCAGATAGTGAGTCTCCTACCTCTCCTTTAGAGTTTCAGCATCATGAATTCAAACATTTATCATCAAATATTTCCAAAAGCAAATGATCTGAGTTATAATATCCACTTTCATGTTACAGCTTTATACTAGACCTGTAACCCTTGTTACTGTCTATTTTTATTTCTCCCAAGAAATCTTAAGAAAAATCGATACTTAAAAGAAACATAAACGAGAACTCTATTAAGTCCCCTGAGCCACGAAAGAGCAAGTTCTGAGCGATAAGGTTTTCCTCTGGGAATCATCCGTGAGTGCGGTCACAGACTATCATCTCATTTCCATAAGCAGTCATCGTTCTGAGTTTCATCTCCTCGAACGCTGCGGCTTCAAAGCGCCTGTCGTATATTCTTTAGAAAGATGAGTGTTAGATTACGCTTTCTGATGTTATGACTCTGTGCGGGCAAAAAAAAAAGAGAGAGAAAAGAAACACAAACACACATCCAAAGGATTGCATTTGGGAAAGAGGGGGGGATGGAAAAGATGGCATTTGGAGTTGATATTTGATATTTCATACTGCCATCTGTTATCAGGACAAATCAGCATGAGCATTTCAGCGGTCAAATTGCTTTCGATCGCAATCCTTCGCTCGCACCCCAGTCTCTCTCTCTCTCTCTCTCTCTCTCTCTCTCTCTCTCTCTCTCTCTCTCTCTCTCTCCGTCTCCTGTGTCTGTCTGATAACAACTTCTCACTTTAATTCACTTTTTCTGCAGTCAAACTTCCCTGTCTTCACACACAACTCAACTCTGACTGTCAGTCAGTCACTCTGAGCGTTCATCTTAATGCGGGAAGAACAGCAGAATGTCATATTCATAATCACCATTGAATGACAAGCCACTGAACTATTGTCTGTTAGTTTATTATTATTTATGCTCTATTTAAGTTTATGGTAGCCCTAAATTATGGAAGCATGTTTCCGCCACAGAATGAAAAATAAAAAAGGTAATTGTGACTTTTTATCTCACAATTCTGACTTTATTTCTCAGAATTGCGAGATATAAAGTCAGAATTGCGTGATATAAAATCGCAGTTGCGTGTTATAAAGTCAGAATTGCGAGATATAAAGTCAGAATTGTGAGATATAAAGTCAGAATTGCGAGATATAAAGTCAGAATTGTGAGATATAAACGATTCTGAGGGGGGAAAAGTTAGTATTTTTTCCCCCTTTGAATTGGCCTGATAACTTGCAATTGCGAGTTTATATCTCATAATTCTGAGAAAAGATGTCAGAATTTCGAGATATAAACTCGCAATTATGTGTTATAAAGTCAGAATTGCGAGATGTAAAGTCAGAATTGTGAGATAAAAAGTCGCAATTCTGTCTTTTTTTCTCGCAATTGCAACTTTATTTCTCACAATTGCGAGATAAAAAGTCGCAATTATTTGTATTTATTTTTTTATTCAGTGGCGGAAACGAGCTTCCATAGTAAATACTGTAGAACCTGATTGCAGATTTTAGCAAAAGTCTCTCAAACCCTCTCGCGCCATCAAACTCTGTTCTGGTTCCTTGAGTCACGCAGAGTTCAATGTTTTTTAATTTATTCTACACTTAGATGTTCCACCATTTTAAATTTGGTCAAAAACATACGTTTCAAATTTATCCTTCAGCTTTCATCCCCAAATTTGGGTCAGATAATCTCCGGGCCATGTTGGTCAGATATTATAAAAACTTTTATTTAATACACCACATCAATCACAAGCAATGCATCAAAACAAATACATTTGTTTAAGAGGAGGCACAGCTTGAATCTCTGGAAATGAAACTTTCTCGTTCTCATCGCCACAATGCCCTGAGCGCACACATGTAGTTTTGTGACAGCGCCACCAACTGGCAAAAGTGGACAAACCTTTGGAATAACTGGACCTGAATTATATTTGGCTTTGCATTTCTCATTGTGTCATTGCAGAAATGTCCTTCAGCACACAAACACAAATGTTGCTCTGTTTGTAATTAGTTTTTCCTAGAAAAAAAAAAAAAAACTAGTACACTAAAAAAAGTCAACTTTAGCATACTTTTTTAAAAGAGTATTTATAACAAAATAATATACTTAGGTGCAAACCAAATGTACAAAAATATATCAAACACTCTAATTCTTTTTCAAATTAAAATGCAATTGAGTTTAAGTTTATATTAAATGCATTTAGTTTAACTTTAGAGTGATTTTTTTTGACCCACTTAAGTATGATTTAAGTACATTTTATATATTTAATTTCATAACTACTTCTATTGTCTTTTAAATACGGATAAAGTGTACCGCCGAAGGTACTGACAAGCAACTAAAATATATTTTAGCGTCATTTCTACTGAAACTTGTATTTAAATACATTTGTAATTAATGAAGTTGCAATTTTGTACATCTAAAATATATTAACTTTAAATGTAATAGCAAATAACACCCTACAGTTAAAACACAATGATTTAAAATGTATTTTGAAGTAAAACGTTTAATTGCACACTATTACAAAGTGCACTTTTTAAAAGTGTACTTAAGCACATAGTCATGGAAGTGTACTGTTTATGTGCACTTAAGTGGCGTTTTATTTAATTTATATTATATTATCTGCAAGTCCAGGTTTTTTTTATTGTAATACTTTTAAGATTGAAGTAAAATGAAGCGCACTTCTGTTTCACACGGGGAATGTTGACAATGCAAACGTACCGCCGTTTAAAGCCGGAAAGCACAGTGTAGAAACATAGCAGTGGACGTTCCTGTACATGCTAAAGACGGTGTGTAACGTACCTCTCCTCTCCCTGCGAGCCGTCGGGCAACGATCAGCTGAATCATGCCTCTCTTGTTGCCCTCGACGGACATGGACTTGCGGAGGGTCTCCATGGCTTCCTGATTGGTCTTTTCCAGTAGAGACTCTCCATTAACTGCTATCAGCTGGTCATTTACCCTCAGCCGCCCATCCTGTGATTGCACAAACAAGAACAGTTTTCTTTGAATAAAGATCGAATATGAAAAAAACACATGTAGCCAATCAGACCTGATTTCAACAAGTGCAACGTGTTTCTGGATGAACATTTCAATCAGATTTGAGGGAGAACTTTACACTTTATGTCAAGTTCAGGCTTATAACCAGGGTTAGGTGCTTCTACATCAGTGTTATAGGGATTGTATGGCTAGGATTAGGTTTAGGGATATGGTTATGATTCAATTTTCGGACAGGAATATAGTTCCAGGATCAACAAAATATGTTGACCCTGGGATGCGTCTAACTCTGCAAAACCAGGACGTGCCACGCAGACGCTCCTCACCTTGCAAGCGGCTCCTCCAGTGATTATAGACTTGACGAATATGCCCAGGTCAGCGTGGTTCTCTTTAGATCTGTTGCCCTTGACGCTGACCCCTAACCCTGCCGAGCCCGAGTCATTCAGGGGGATTTCAAAGGTCAAAAACTCTCTCGTTCCATCCGGAGTCAATATTAAATCATATTGTTCTTCTTTCTATGGAGATAAAGAAAAGACACAAAAGATTTTGATAAGTTAAGGGAGGAAAAATGTATTTATTGTTTCAATATTAAAATACTTTCCCCATGCAGTTTAATCAGATTTTTTATTTACACTAAGCCACCTTATTGGCAGAGGCTATTTACACTAACTCCACCCACTGGCGCCTGATTGGACCAGACACAATTAGGGAAGATGCTGGATTGTCAACAGTAGAAATACTGTAAGGGTAAAGCGCTGGGAAAAAAAAGTTTTTACGCTAATTACGCCTTTTGCAGAACTCGCTCTACTCTCTTTTTCCATCACATGTCAGATCGGAGAGGCATTTATTTTCAATAAAAATGAAGAAAATATTCAAAAAGTGGGAATAAAGTGTCTAACCTGTGTTTAATAATAAAGTGTTTATTGGGTAGGGGTAGCGGTGAGGGCTTAGGGCGCCATCCATTTAATAATTCTAATAAATATAATAATTTGCACCCTATGTTATTATTGCATACTGCTTAATGTACAACAACACTGAGGTGCAAATAGTCTCTGCCACTATTTATCAGTAAAAATAGCATCTTACTACTATTTACACTTATTGCAAAGAAAAGACTTCTATGTTTACATAGTGTAAATAGAATATATTGCTATTTATATTCAAGTCAAGTCACCTTGATTTATATAGCGCTTTTTACAATACAGAGTGTTTCAAAACAGCTTTACAGAGATGACAGGAAAATAAGTTGCATACTTACATACAAAATGTACGCTTCGTGCAAATAGCAGCTATCGCTAAGGAAATATGCTATTTTTACTAAATGTAAATATAATATAGTTGCTATTTACACAGTGTAAATGACATCTATTGCTATTCACACTAAGTTTAATATGCAACTATAAGCAAGCAACTCATAGGTTAATTCCACCAACATACTGTATTTTCACACTTTTGCATAGGTACTAAATTTGGTTTGAAACTTACTTTGCGACTGTTAAAAAAGTATGATCTGTATGTAATGAATGCGTGTAGTATGAATGAAATTCGGACGTAATACAATCCGCCATGTTGTCATTGTTATGTGACCTATGATATCAGTTATGCCGTTTCTCACCATACTGTACAGAAATCCTTTCCGTAGGTCATCCGGGGACTTTTTACCTATACTGTTTTATGAAAAATGTGAATTAGGACAAACTATTCAGCTTGCATACTATTTTTTGTTATGGCTATGGGTCTGTTTCGACCAATGAGAGATGGGGAAAGTGTTTACGATTGAAGAATACCAACTACCAACACAAAAAACAAACACAATATAGCTTTCCAGTTGAACTACAGAGTGCTGAATTGAGAGGTGTGGAGATTAACACAGCAGGATCACATGACTCATTAAACATGATGTTTACAGTGGTTTCTATGGAGAATTGTCTTGGCACCCATTAAGTGGACGATCTCCTGTTGTTCACAGGAAAATCTAATTACAGTCCAGATTCAAACCCATGATATAAATACACTTCCATATCAGTGAACAAACTGTTTTGAGAATTACATTGTTAGAAAATCCAAAGAAAACCAGCTTTATGCAGCAAATAGTGTGCATTTGGACACTGCGATCGTTTCTGATTGGTCTATGAACAAGTGGACCTAGTCTAAACCTAGTAGATCATCTTGGTCACAGCTAATACACCACTTTGGATCGGCTACCATGTTCCAAAACCAGAATTTCCCATCAGGGAAGTCATTAAAAGAGTGATTCATTGGGGAAAATCCACTCTCAGTAGCACTTGCATACATTAAAAGCAAAAGTAATGTGTTTAAAGAAAGGTTCAGCACACACACACACACACACACACACACAGTTGAAGAATGCCAGGTGCTTGGCTTTAGTCCAGCTGCCGAGAGCAAAGAAGCTGGAGATGAGTTATAGAGATTCAGCCAAGCATTCAGGTGAGGCCCCTATCTCTCCTTCCTTTCATAATACACCTCACACACACACACACCATCACCCCGTGCCCGAGCAGTTGCCATGGCAACCCAGGTGGCTCTCAGCAGACAATAGCAGCTCTCAGGTTAAGAACCAACAACCAGGTGAAGGCGCCAGGAAGAACACATGCAGTGCTAACACGGTTTTCACGTGTGTGATTTTCACCCACTCGTTTCGTCCCCATCACGCACAAGTACGCAGAGGACAACAGTCTTTTAGACTGACACAATGAAGTGGCTCTCACCGGCTCACTCTAGCACTGCTATGCATTATGGATAGAAACATTGCTGTTTTTGAACGAAGAAGCATCTCTGTGAGTTTTAGGCCACGTCTCGCCTTTGACAGATAATATTGTTTTTGTCAGCTACTCCATGGCAACCGAGAAACATTTCAAGCACTCGAAGGAGTTTCCAGAGGTGTCAGTAAAGACTAGGGTTGGGAATCAAAATTGGAATTGGATACCAGGGTTTCTGCAGGTATCTTCAAATTAAATCGAATGCTTTTTAGTGCCTCTTTTTTATTTTTGATGCCATACATGACCCATGACTAACCACAGATATTACAGTGCTGTCCATCGATTAAAAAAATGTACTCGATTAATCACAAATTTTCTGTGATTAATTGCAATTGAAAACACTTAAATTTTTATAGGTTTAAAATAGTTTATATATTTTATGATGTAATAATTTCACAGGTAATCTACAAATGAATGTAGAGACAACATAAAGACAGTATATACTTTATGAATGAAGGCCAGTATCACTGATACTAATACAGCTATTGATATCCGGATAAAAATGAATGTGTGGGGCAACTTAACTATTATAATTACGTTGAAACTTAAGGTGCGGTCACATTATGGATATTATGGTGAAATATTGCAGGCAAAAAAATAAGTCATTTCTGTTGGCGAATCCGTGTGACGAACTTGAACCAGTTGTGAAATATGCATGCGCAAAATTACCAAATGGTGCATATTCTTATTCAAATGACTATTACGAGCGTGTTTGTTTGTGCATTAGCAAGCAGCACTGAATATAACGGGTATAATCCTCCTGGAGTGATCTTGAGCAAAAGCTAAGCTCCTTTAAACAGTAAAACACACCACATGTGAAAGCTCAGCTTCAATATGCAGTCGTTCTGAAAGTAGCTTTAAGCCAGTGCTACAGGTTGCCAGTCTCTGACCTCAAAGTTTTATAACATGCAACAGTTTGCTTGAAGGTCTGAAATTGTGTTACACACCGCTGGTTCATTGTCACAAGCCTTCACAACACTGCACATTTCTTTCAGACACTGGCAGAGGGAAATGCCTCCCGTTATAAGAGGAGCATGCAGCTCGACCTGGCCCATTGTGCTCGCGAGTAATTAATTAATTCATAAGCAGACTGGATGGTGTGCATTCATTACATGCTTTTGTTTCCAGAGTGAGTTTGAATTATACTGTCAGTGCACAGACAATGAAGAGAAGAGCCCATGCGAGATAACACAGCGTCTGAACACGGTACAAACAGAGAGAGAGAGAGAGAGAGAGAGAGAGAGAGAGAGAGAGAGAGAGAGAGAGAGAGAGAGAGAAAGAAAGAAAGAAAGAAAGAAAGAAAGAAAGAAAGAAAGAAAGAAAGAAAGAAAGAAAGAAAGAAAGAAAGAAAGAAAGAAAGAAAGAAAAATGGACAGATACAAAAAAGAGAGAAACAAAGGGAAAACGAACTAAAAATTTTGAATAAACGGATAAAAGTGTGAACCAAAGAATAAACAAAAGATCTAATTAAAAAAAATACTTTTAAAACAACTAACAGAAGAAAGTATGTTATTGAACGAAAAAAACAAACAAACAAACATACAAAACAAAACAAAGTCTAAACACATTCAAAATAAACAACTAACCAAAAAGGATGAACAAACAATTAAGTGAAGACAACAAAAAATAAACAAACAAACGAAAGGAAGGAAGAAAGACCAAACAAAAAATTAACACAGTAACTAAATAAAAAAAATGTAAGAAAGAACATCAGGAAAAACAACCTAAAAACTAAAATAATTATGAAGAAACAAATAAAAGCAAGAAATATAGAACGAAAAATCTAATGAAAGAAATAAACACACTTTAAAAAAAAAAAAAAATTATTGAATGAGCAAACAAACCAACCAAACACTTTCAAAACAATTAACATAAGAAATAATAAAGTATTGAACAAACAAACAAACAAACCAAAAACAGAACTCAACTTATTCAAAATAAACAACAACTGAAGACAGCAAAAAAACTAAAACAAATGAGAGGCGTTTTCTTGCGAGGTTTTTTTTTTCTTTACGTTTTGCGTTGCCCTAAGAGTCTTTGTGTTCGCTCGGAAAGAAAGCAAAGTTTCTCGGGGGAACGAGATAATGCAAAAGCATTGACACATATGTTTCCAAAAGCGTTGACATATCATTTTTTTCATTTCCTTTTACGTTTTTTTCCTTACTTTAGAGGCTCAATTAAAAAAAAAAAACAAAGAAACAAAGAAAACATGAAGAAAGAATGAACAACATTACAGAAGGAAGGAAGGAATGAATGAATAAAAGAAAGAAATGGAAATATAAATGTTGCTCTCTGGCTTCAAACTGCTGCAAAGGTTTGAAACAATTAGCAAGGCTGAAACTTTCTCGCCCAAACGGGGCAACGACATAAAGGTCATTGGAAATGAATTTAAGAGGCTAAAAGAAATCAGTCAAGTATGTAATTGCAAAGAAGGCCTGTGCATGATAAGTATAGTAACATGAAATTTCTCACCACTGTTTCTTTGGCCCGCCACCTTCTGATAAAGCCTGCATATTAAACACTGACTAATGCACATTCAAGACTTTCAGGTACAATTAGACCCAAAGACCCGCGAAAGAGAGAGAAAACGAGATTAGATGAGACTCTCAAAGCGAGGAGCGGAAGAACTGTCAGCACCTAAAGTGAAGGTGACACGAATAGTTGGAGAGGTGAAGCCAAACACCTCATTTATACATTTTTACAAGGAATCAAGTTCCCAATGAAGAAGGTCAAAC